CCCATTCCTATCCCAAATTCCCACTCTGCCCCCATTTGCTCATTCCTGTCCCCAGTTCCCTCATTCCTTCAATCCCATCCCTAATTCCCTTCCCAGCTCCCCCATTCCTCCAGTCCCATCCCCAGTTCCCATTCAGCCCCCTTTGCCCATTCCCCCCCCCCCTCCCCCCCCTCCCCCCCCCCCCCACTCCTCCAGTCCCCTCCCCAGTTCCCATTCAGCCCCATTTGCCCATTCCCATCCCCAAGTCCCCAGTTCCCCCAGCCCCAATTCCCTCATTCCCAGCCCCAATTCCCCATCCCTCCATTTCCATTCAGCCCATTTGCCCGCTCCCATCCCCGATTTCCCCGTTCCCAGCCCCTGCTCCTCCATCCCATCCCAAATCCCCGCCAGGGGTGGTCCCAGCCCTTCCCGTTCCCATTCCCGTTCCCGCAGTGACGTGTACCGGACCAAGGGGCAGTTGGCCAACTTCCAGGAGATGCTGGAGAACATCTTCCTGCCCCTCTACGAGGCCACGCTGCACCCGGCCCAGCACCCGGAGCTGCACCTCTTCCTGGAGCACGTGAGTCCTGCCCGGGGGGCCAGGGACCCCCAGCCCTGGGGAGGGTCACCCCCAGCCCCAGAGGAGGGTGTCACCTCAGCCCCAGGGGAGGGAGGGTCACTCCCAGCTTAGGGGAGGATGTCACCCCCAGCCCCAGGGGGAGGGTGTCACTCCCACCCCGGAGGGAGGGTCACCCCCAGCCTGGGGGGAGGGTGTCACCCCCAGCCCCAGGGGAGGGTCACTCCCAGCTTAGGGGAGGATGTCACCCCCAACCCCAGGAGAGGGTCCCCCCAACCTGGGGGAATGGTGTCACCCCCAGCCTGGGGGGAGAGAGGGTCCCCCAGCCCAGAGGGAGGGTCCCCCCAGCCCAGGGGAGGGTCACCCCCAGCCCCAGGGGAGGTTCCCCCAGCCCCAGGGGAGGGAGGTTCCCCCAGCCCAGGGGAGGGAGGTTCCCCCCAGTCCCAGGGGAGGGAGGTTCCCCCAACCCAGGGGAGGGAGGTTCCCCCCAGCCCAGGGGAGGTTCCCCCAGCCCAGGGGAGGTTCCCCCCATCCCGGGTGCTCGGTGCCCGCAGGTGGACGGGTTCGACAGCGTGGATGACGAGTCGAAGCCGGAGCATCACATCTTCAACCTGGACAGCCCCCTGCCCGGGCAGTGGGTGGAGGAGGACAACCCACCCTACTCCTACTACCTGTACTACATGTACGCCAACATGACCGTGCTCAACCACCTGCGCAGGTGAGGCACCCCTGGGGGCACCCACTGACACCCACTGACACCC